GCTCCTGTACTCAGGGAGCAGAGAGAGGGAAGGCGTGCATGTGCAAGAGACAGTGAGTGTGTGTGAGTGTGACTATGTATGAGTGCGTGTGAATATGAGTCTATGAATGTGAATATTTATGTGAATGAGTGAGTGTGTGAATATGTATGTGTGTGTGAGAATATGAGTCTATGAATGTGAATATGTATGTGAATGAGTGTGTGACTATGTATGTGTGTGTATGAATGTCTATGTGTATGAGAGTGAGCATGTGAGTGAATGTGAGTATGAATATGTATGAGAGTGTGAGTTTCTGTATGAGTGTGAATATGCATGTGAATGAGTGTGTGAGTGTGGATATGTGAGAGTATAAGTGTGCATATGTGTGTGAATGAGTATGAGCATAGGAATATGTATGTATATGTGTGTGGCCGTGTATGTGTGAGTGTGACCAAGTATGTGAGTGTGACTGTGTGTGTGTGTGTGACCGTGTGTATGAGTGTTCCTGTATGCGAGTGTGACTATGTATGTGAGTGTGTATGTGTGTGTGTGTATATGTGTGAGTATGACCATGCACATGAATGTGTGTGTGACCGTGTGTGTGACCCTGTACCTGAGTGTAACCATGTATGTGTGTGTATGAGTGTGACCATGCACGTATGTGTATGAGTGTGACCTTGTGTGTGAGTGTGTATATATTTGAGTGTGACCGTGTACATGAGTGTGTGTGACCATGTAAGTGTGACCCTGTACGTGTGACCATGTATGTGTGTGTGACCATGTACCTGAATGTATGAGTGTGACCATGTACATGGGTGTGACCATGTGTGTGTGTGACCATGCATGAGTGTGACCATGTACGTGTGTGACCATGTATGTGTGTGTATGTGTGAGTGTGACCATGTACCTGAGTGTGACCATGTACATGGGTGTGACCATGTGTGTGTACGTGTATGTGTATGTGACCATGCATGTGAGTGTGACCATGTACGTGAGTGTGACCATGCATGAGTGTGACCATGTATGTGGGTGTGTGCATGTATATGTGACCGTGTACGTGGGTGTGACCATGTGTATGTGACCGTGCATGTGAGTGTGACCATGTACGTGGGTGTGACCGTGTGTATGTGTATGTGTATGTGACCGTGCATGTGAGTGTGACCATGTACCTGGGTGTGACCATGCATGAGTGTGACCATGTATGTGGGTGCGTGCATGTATATGTGACCGTGTACGTGGGTGTGACCATGTGTATGTGACCGTGCATGTGAGTGTGACCATGTCCGTGAGTGTGTGAGAGCGTGTGTGTGTATGTGTATGTGACCGTGCATGTGAGTGTGACCATGTACGTGAGTGTGTGTATGTATATGTGACCGTGTATGTGACCGTGCATGTGAGTGTGACTGTGTCCGTGAGTGTGTGAGAGCGTGTGCGCGTGCATGTGAAGCCTGTGGCAGACACTCTGGAGGCACCGCATCAGTGGCAGCAGTGGTCATACTCTAGTCATTGGGAAAACAAGGACAAACAAGATAATCAAAAAAATGGGCCTGGTTGTTGAAATGAGTAAGTGGCCTCGCAGAGTGCTCATTTGGAAGGGGATTCACTTAGCTCAAGGTATGAAATCTTGGAAATTTTATTTTAAAACATTCTACCTACCTTACAGGGGCGGCTAGCGGGGACTGTGGCCTTTCACACCTTGCTCTTCATTGAATGGCTGATGACTTCATTCCTTCCGAGAGTTTTGACGGAGCCCATATGCATCATGCACTCTGCCTAGTGCAGAGGCTAAGCTGTGATCAGAGCAGGCGTCATCCTTGTGGATGATAGGGGCAGGTGAACATTAATCGCACAGGATGGTCATGTGTGTTCGAAGACCAGATTCAGTCCCAGAGATGGGGAAGGAACCCCAGGAGGCCAGAGGTTGGAGCTGAGTCCCGCCATGGCAGTTAAAGACTTTTAGAATCCTGATGTCACATGACATCATTCTCAATATTTGGATCGATGTATGTCCCCATTTTTAGTTTAGACATATCAGCGCTGGCTGTGCGGTTGCTCCCTGGGTGCACTGGGGCAGGCACTTGGCATGCGCATCATCTCACCCCACAGTGCCCTAGGTAGGAGCCCCCCCGCCCCCTCCACTTCCCATCTCAGGACTTGGACTGGTTGCTGGGTTCACGCGGTCAGAGTTTAGACGTGAACTTCTGCAGAGGTGCCACGTGCAGATACCTGCCTCACCTAATTTATCTTGTGTCCTTAGTTCGTCTTAGCTCATCGGACTTGGAATGGGAAGCGTTTAGGTTACTAAACACCTTTATGTGACTGGATTGGAGAGAAGCTTCTGGGTACATCGCATTGCCACTGGAAAGACAAGGCTGGGAATGCCCTGCCTTGTGACACCAAGGCCACTTCCCTAGTGTTGCTGATGAGACGGGACCAGGGGCCTTCTCACTTCCCCTCCTGTTCATGGAGCCGTGGCCCCTGCGTGGCTCCAGCTCCTGTGGTCCAGGCTTCCGGCACGTCTGCATTCTGCTCAGACGTGCACGTGCGTGCACACATGCACTCACATTCCTTCGCCCCCTACCCTCCCCTCCCTACCTCTTGGCTAGGGTTGGAGGGCATTACAAGCTTTTACTTCATTGCAAATGATTTGTGGCCTCAGGGCAAAGCTGGGCCTATGGTTGTCCCTTTATAATGCTTCTCAGACTTGGGAGTGGAGACTGTAATTGCCAGGACAGAGAAAGGGCACTGGGGGGGACGGTGTGAGGGGGG